TTAGTAGGTTATTGCTGATGGTATCCAGTCCACGGATCCTCGGTATCTTGCGGATAGTGACTTTCATGGTTCTCCAAGTTTCCACTTTATTCAGTCGAACTGTCCTGACGTTTGTATTGAAAATTCTGACTTAGGTGCTTGTCGATAGTTGTTTTGACTTCCAGATGTTCTTCAGCTGTATAGTTGATACCCTTGTTTTGCTAATTCGTGTTTACATATCTGTTTTATATCCCCCTTGTTTATCATTGGTACGACTCAACAACTCATGGCATATTGTAGTTATTCCTTCTCCTTCAGTTGTTCTCCATGGTAGTTTCTTCTATGAGTAGATTTTGCAACATATGGAACTTGTTGCTGATATCTATCTTGAGTTTCATTTTGGTCATTACCAGATGAAAATCTTAAGTTATATCAGCTCATCTTTTTGTTCCCACGTCTTTCTTGATCCTTCTGAAGATTTTTTTGATGCAGATGGAATTGATTCTGTTCTCTCTAGTGTGTTCTTGGCTTTGTATATACTCTTGTGGAGTAATATGATCCCACTTATAATCATTTTTTTGAAGGTATATAGATTTGCGAATCTATTACCATTTTTGTTTCTTTCTCCTAGTTCATGTCTCCTCATGGTATTATTCATGTTCCTTCAAAACTGTCAGGTAGTTAACTGGAAATTTCTCTACAACTGACTGCAGCCATTCATAAAATAGATCTTTATCTTCTTCGTCGCTATCGTTGGTAAGCATATGGCTCTGGATGACATTTATCGTAATCCCCTTCTTCGCTGTCTTAAAGGATGCTTTGATGATCCTCAGTTAGTAAGATTACCGTCCTACACGGGGTTTTGATACTTCTTTGGTCAGCACCGGTGCGACTGCCTGTGTTCATAAGACATTTTATTCTTTCTGACGGGAGAACAAGTGCACCCTTCATAAAAAACAAGCTTTTGTGTTCAACCTATGTCCTTCAGATCTCAACTATTCCAAGTGCTTCCATGTTACATGTTTTCATTTCATTAGTTAGTCGAATGATCCTCCAAGTCTTCTAAATTGTACAGACATTCAATGTATCTATTGTAATTGTTGCTCTGGTTGTTAGAAGGAGTAGTGACCCTGTGGCTTCCGAAGGAATTTGACTCTTGTAAATGAGGACTGTCCAACTCCTAGAGTATAGTTTGAATGGTTCAAGATGAGTTTCTCTGGTTAGAGCGTTTTTTACCAGCGTTGCTTTCCATGGATGGGGCAGCCAACCATAGAAGGGCTTTAAGTGCAGTTAAGCGACTAGTGACTTGAACGTAATTAGTTTGTCGTTATTCACGAAGATGGAGATTTTAAGTTCATCTAAAATGTTTGTATCGTTGCATCAGAATGACGATATGACTTAGATTTATATACATACTATTAGTTTGACTTATTCAGTAAACATATTTTCTATTTGAAATCATTGCCTTTCATGACCTATTTCTCTATAAATTAAATTCAGTCTCATAAACACATCCTGATTATAAATGTGTAAGGAGTTAACTAAGATAAATTCTTATTAACTTTGTCAGTATGGGGTTGTGAGGAATGTTGAGTTAGTCTAAGTTAGCCACTGTAAACACGGGAGAACTGAACAAATGTTCTGTTCTAGTACAGGACTCCACAGCGATGCGTGCCCACAACTCCACGATAAGGAGATAAGCACAATGTTAGAGTATCACAGACTGCTTCATGAATTTCATTTTCATCCTTGGTTCATGAATTTTTATTTCATAAATAACTTTTATTCTCAAATTATCATAGTTAGTGAATGATTTTAAACTTCCGGATTCCATTTCTGATAGAATATACTTTCAGTTCTCATGAAAAAAATCCGTAAACACTATTAAATCAATGGCTTATTTATTCTGATATAATGAATACTATCTTAATGAAATAGCTTATTGTTGTTTGAAAAGTTAACTGACAAATTCAACGTAATAAATATATTTACAGTCATTGAGTGAGACTTAAATGAAGAAATGCATACACAAAGATAATGCTATTAGAAGGAACATGTAAGTTATGTTAGCGTTATACAATTCGAACAATCTGATCGTATATCACGAACTTAACAAAATGTTTGTATTTTACAAAAAATAGGAATATAATATCCAGCTCATATTATGCTTTGTTTTTAAATTCATTTTGAAAATGAATATTTACAACAACTCTGATAATCTAAACTATGGCAGGATAATATTTACTTTAAATACTCCTTATTAATTAGTCTTCAGTAGTACAATATGAAAGCGACTATAACAATTAAACAAAATTTACCTCGAACAATTAGATAATTGAACTTTTTGTGCCCCGGGATCTGACTCCAATTAGGACGAACAATTATATATTCTATGAGAAATAAATCTTCGCTTCATTTTCCGTATATCACACTTAGGCGAACTCCTTTTATGCGACTATGGTGATGAGTAACCAAACACTGATTCACGCAGGCAGACATGAGAATAAAAAGTGTAAAAGCAAACCAAAGCTAGATGGAGAAGGAGCAAGTACCAACTCACTGTGACAGGACATGACTAAGTATTTATGGTCAGGCAGAAGTGAAGTAAGCAATGTACATACTCACTTCGGTAATAAAAAAAAAGTTATAAACGAATAATTCACAAGGTCAAAAGACGTGTGAATAGTAACTCAGTCAGAAAAGGTTAATTGGTTTGTCATGTGGTCTCAACATACTACTAAATAAAGTTACCAATAGTTATTAGATTACAGAGTAGATTTCTGTAAAATTTTAATCAATAAGTAGATTTTCTGCTATCAAAACGATGGTAGGAAAATCAAACCGTAAATTCACCTTGTTAATTTATTATTAGTCTGTCTTATTTTTACATATATTTGGCTAGTTTCAGTGATAACTTGTTTTTTTTTGATTGATAGAATCAGTTCAGCATGTATATTTTCCCTGATTGTTGCCACAGTAACATAAAATGACATTTGATGTTCACTAGTAATTGACACTATTCGTATATTTTCTTTCTAAGAAAACAAACAAACAAACAAACTGAATGTTCTAGAAACAATTCAAGTTCGAGTGAAATGGTTGCTTCCTTAAAGTGTTAAAACAAAATAAATGTTCATATTTAGAAAATAAGACACACGAACAAAAATCCATATTGTATCAGTATAAACATGTAAATCAAATCAAATCATGTAGACAGAAAAAAAGAGCAATAATACCTTTCAATCATGGTTAATTTCTTTGTTTTTTCTAAATGTTATTAGATTTTAGGGAAAAATCTAGACAACTTCACTAAAGACAGACTGGAATTGATTCAATAATGTTTTTGGTTAGAAAGATCAGTATATAGTTGGATAGATTAATTGAAAGTGTTTCAGTTTCTCTTTAATTTTGGTGAGGATAGGCGTCTAGATTGGCCTGTATTAGTCGTTGTCATTTTGATCCCTCGGTTGATCCAGCTTTCTCTTGAATACGTCGACAGATGGAGCTTTAATCATGTGTAGGGGTAACGAGTTCCTTTTGTTAACGATTCAATGAGAAAGTCCATAGTCAGCTGACAAGTAATTTGATCCGGGCCAATGAAGTTTTTTACAGTGTCCTCGTAACTTCTGTTTTGGAGGACAATAAAAGGAGGGCATGTCAAATGCAAGTTTATCATTAAGTAGTTTAAAAAATATAAACAAGTCATTCCTAGTCATTTTGAAACTAAAGACCATTACCTTCATTTTTATAGCTATCCATATCTTGTTATCGTCAGCAAATGACAAAACCGATGAATATAGGGAAGTTGGAAGGTCATTTACATGCAGCAGCAACAACAATGGCCCTAAACCTATGCCCTAAGGCATTTCGTTAAGCACAATGTCCCAGTTAAACAACCTGGAGTTAACGCGTACTTTTTGTTGTCGTCCGGCTAGGAAGTTCTTAGTCCACATAAATAACTTGCTTCCAGTCCCGATATCACTCAACTTAAACAAGAGCCTTGCGTAAGGGACTTCGTTAAAAACCTTCCTGAAGTCAATGAAAACCACGTCCGTAGGTAGTTTTTGATCTTTGAGAGAGCACCAACTTTTACGGGCTACTAACAGGTTTGTTAGATATGAATAGCATGTTCTAAAACCATGCTACAGAGATCGGTTTAATTTTAGACATGTATTAATACGAATACATCAGTTTTACATTTGTGTTAGTATTTGTGAAGTATTTAAATATCATGTTGGATTGAGTTAATTGTCAATGATAATATTGAATGAAACGACCAAGCTATTTTAATGATAATAGTTTTGTTTAATTATAAAGTGCATGGGCTGATCAGTTGACCTTGAGATTTTTTGTGGCTCTCCCAAGGACGTTTCTATAATGTATAAATAAACTCGATTTGTTTGCTTGAAGACCTCATATTTTTGGGTGCTTGTAGAGTATACTTTCTACGCCATATCAAGACTTTTTAAATCATTAGCAGAGCCGGGGACAATCGAATCAGAATAACCTATCATGTCACTGGATCATTTGTCTTCGCGCTAGTTTACCGAGTAAGGTGAACTCGTAATAGTTTCAAGCATATCAACGGTGGAATGCAGGAAGCCTATTGCATCATATTTCGGGTTTGCTAGTTTAATGTACATCAACCTCAATTTTCATTTTTTCAATGAGGCTCGAACCCAGTTCTTTATCTTCAAACTACCAATAACTCCGCCTGGATAAAGTAGAAGGTTCGGGCATGAGGTTAGCGACTCCATCCGGTAGAAAACCAAGTCGCTAAAAAAACCACTTACCAGAGAAAATAATCCAAATTACCATTGGTTTATATTTTTATTTACCAATCTCCGTAATCCTACAATGAGAATTCAAAGTTCCTAAGAATTCTTCATCGTTTAAATCATTATCGTTAGCATTGAAGAAAGAAGGAAGTCATGTTCAAATTCAGTTAAACTAAACGTAATTCATAATACATTATTTCTTGCATTAAAATTGTTTCCTATTCTCTTTTTTATTTTATACAGAGAAACTTATCAGTTCATTCATTTGTCCAATATGTCAAAGTGAAATTAAACAAGATGATTTAGAAAATCATTTCAAATTTGAATTGGAAAAAATGCAAAATTTCACAATCACGTTAGTTTTTTGCAGTTTAGTGATTTGCTTCAATGCTGATCAATATTTAAACAAATTGTTAACATATTTGAAAGCTAATTCATTTGAGATTTATCAGCTTGATGTACTTGCATCCTTATGCTGATAGTCACAATAAAACTGGAAATAGGATAAAACTTACTTACTTACTTACTAACTTACTTATGCACTTACTTACTTATGCACTTACTTACTTATGCACTTACTTACTTATTTACTTACTTATGCACTTACTTACTTACTTACTTATGCACTTACTTACTTACTTAGTTACTTACTTACTTACTTACTTACTTACTTACTTACTTACTTACTTACTTACTTACTTACCTATGCCTGTAACCCCTAACAGAATACAGGCTGCTAACCCACATCATTTTTCTGGTAAGCATTTCGGTAGCGTGTTGATTTTCTACGGTATGAGGTCGTTGACCCCAATGCCTAACCCTCCTCCTTTATTCGAGATTGCGACTGGAAGTAATCCCCAGAAGGGCTCCAGGCAGAGTTAAATAGGATAAAAAGCGTATCTTGAATTCAACTGCAAGTCTGATAACTTTTTATTCCAAATATTGTCATAATATGCATGTAATGATACAGATTAATGAGTGACATTCTTGAATTTAAGCAACAAAAATCGACTGATACTTACTAGTAATAAAAATATGTAACAAGTTTATCATCATTAGAGAATAAGTAGAGTGATGTAGTTTGTAAACATGTTAGAAGACTGAAAGATAAACAATTACGTAATATGTTAAATGATTACTATAATAATAATAGTAATCATAATAATCTACCTTATTATCAGCTTGATCCCACAGAATTAGAGATATTGAAATATTAGACAATAAACAGAAAGGTTGTCGGTATAATCGTTAACTACTATATTTCTTTATTGAATATTAAAATTTCCCTAATTAATTACTTAAAACACTACTTAATTGTTAATATGCTGTTGAAATGTAAAGTAACCAGTGTGTTTAACAAAAACATTACATCACTACGTGAAAAAACTCCAAAAATCCAACTTTTTTCATTCATAATCATCAGCTGAGATTATCAAACGAACAAAAAGTGTAAACTCCTATTTTTAATGCAAAATTACTGAACACAAGTAGTTATTTGTACTAACAAGTGAAGGTGTTCATGGATGATTTCATTCAACTTACAATGATCTATAACCAACTAGTTCAAATCTTTTGATTATTTCTGGTTAACAGGATGTATACAGGTTTGCTACTTGACTGAGGTTCATAGTGTTGCTGAGTTGAATTTCCCACGTCATTAATTAAAATGATGCTGAATGTTTAACATAGAACAGACTCAATAGGAAGAAGAATTTATGACCACAGAAAATAATAAGCTGATGCAATTTTAAAAAAATGTCAATCTAAGAAATTATAAAGCTAATACTGTCATAACTTTAACATCGTGATCTCTTGAAATGAGCTTTACATCGATCTGATCAGTAAGTGATATCAGATGATCTTAGTCAAACTCTATCGATCAAGGTGAATCAACCAATCAATAGATATACTTAGGTTAGCATTCTCTAACTAGCCCTATCATGGATTCACCTTTTCAGTTGTTTGTAATTCCTGTTTATTCTTTTCATATCTATCCCAAGCCCCTCCTGACAACGAGAGTAACTATTAATATTTATCAGTCATAAGACTAGTTGATGTTAAATTATTACGAAATTCAGTATCTGAATCCTAATATCTGAACCAAATGAATCCACCATCTGAAATGAGAGATGAACTACACAGAATTAAACACAACTACTTTTTGAACGAATATTAGATAGGATGAAATAAAAAGCACGTGCATTTCATTCATCTATTTCATTTATCAAAAAGTTTATATTTTCTAACGTCTCTCGTATCTTTCTCCGATTATTTTAAGTTTACCCGAGGGAAAAACATCTTCAGATATATCAGAGGTAACTATTCCTTTTTTTTAATAATTTTATTTTCAAATTAATTTAGTCACCGAATTATTCTCAGCATAAAATTGATCAAATAAACAGTGATTCAAGATTTGAAATATTTAAAAAAATTAAAAGGAACAGAAAAGAAAGGAAAGGTATGTTAATTTAACAAAAAACCTAAACCAATACTTCACAATCGTTTTAGATAAATATTTAGAACATTCGTCTTTATTAAATCCAAGTACAGTGCAAAATGAAACCAGTCAGGTATGTGGAAACTTTCTTGAAATTATTTGTGAAGATTTATACTACTCATAAGTAGCTAAACTGTATTTGATATCATGAACGATGTTCTTAATAGACGGGATGCTAATCTAGAGTAAAAATTATATTTCAATGGGCACTAAATCTTTGTACGACTGTTCCAGGTAGACTGTTTATCACTCTTTTATTTGCGTAGTGAAGTAGATTACTCGGTAATGATGAGGGATGACAAGGATTACTTCCTTTGAGTTTCTTTCTACTCTTAGGACAGAATGTGTAAATTACGCATTAGTCACTGTAATATTATCATTAGAGCAAATATGAAGTAAATGTGCAAACTTTCATCAAACCCATCATTTATTTTGAAAACGATCTTACATTACAAAACATTTATTAGATGATAGCTATGAATACATAGGCCAGTTCATATTTGTAACGGAGATAGATAGTATCAATGATTAGAAAGGAAAGGAAGTTGATCATACATTAAGTAAAGAATTAATGATCAAATTTAATGATACCACCGTGCTAGAATAGAATTATATCAGTATAAATCAATAAAATATGAGAATAACACACTCAACAAGATGAAATGATAAAGCAGAAAACAATAACTTATTTAGATACAATGTATGCACAAAATGAGATAGATTAAAAATGATAAGATTTAAATTAGGTATACTTCTCAACATTTTATCCAATAGTGGTAATTCAGATTTCAATCATATGAAAAAAATGAAAAAACAAAGTAGAGCATTCAGCGTGAAAACTAATGAATAATTGTAAAAGTCGTTTGGAAGTCAAATTATGTTTGCTTTGAAAATGATAACATCTAATCCATAGTAATGCTGATACTCTACTTGATATATACTACTGATTTTCATTTTTAAGTAGTAATATAACTGGGACTGATCAGTTGATTTTATCAAAGATACGCTTGTTCCTTATGAACTAAGTGCTTCGTATTGATGGTTGACTAAAAGAGGTCTTATTTGTTTGAAGCATTTCACATCATTTTTCACTTCTGTTTTCATGTATAAGCTTGTCAATCGAAGGATAAATTGTTAGAATCATTAGTTCATCAAATGATATTTACATATTAGAATAATAACTATAAACTAACATTCATGAATAAAAATAAGACTGGTTAATGAACACCAAAACAAAAATGCTTTCATTCAAATAGTTTTAACATCACTGATGACCACTTTCCACTTTCTGATCAATAATAACAAACCATTTTTCCTAGTTATGCTTTAAATATCAAGCTCTGCCTGAAGCCTTTGTAGGGTTTTTGCTGGTCTCAGGCCCAGATAAAGGAGGAGAGTTAGCAACCTCACTCCGTAGAAATCCAGCTGGCTAAGAAAACGCAAACCATAAAATTAAATTTGTTGGTCTGCGACCTATGATCCATTAGGGGTTACTGGCCTAAGTAAGTAAGTAAGCTTCAAATATCACCCTGATATTCCTTAATTTATTGATTCAATGTATTCAGACTATTCCTTGATTCAAATAACTGACCTTTCATGGTTCTCCAACAAGCCAATTTCCTTCATCTATTAAAATAATCGTTATAGTTCAATTTAGATCAGATATTTTAGAAGCGTATCATTAAAATTGGATAGACGGTTAGTTGCGGCTAGATTCATACAGGAAATAACAATGCACACGTTTTAACTAAGTAGCCTGAGAATAAACTTTCCAATGAATCTTTATCATTTATTTTTTTTATCTGTACTGAATAATTCACAAGTGTTCAAAAATTTACTTACTATCGAAATCATGAATCAATCAGTTAGACCACTATTAGAAACCTGGAGGCACTGGACAGCCGTTTCTTCCATGTACGGGACTCACAAGCAGTGCGCATCCATGACTCCTGCAACTCACAGGAATCGGACACAGAACCATCTGTCATGCGCTCGAACGCTTAACCTCTAGTCCACTGAGCAGGCGTCCAACGGTGTTGATGTCTAACTCTAGCCAATCTAAAGGTTTGACCAGCCTCACGTAGAAGCGCACTGCTGACAAGTCCTATTCTAGGACGGACGGAACAGCCGTCCAGTGCTTCCAGGTTTTTTTCTGATGGTGATCTAACAACGACTGATTTACGATTTCGATAACAAACAACAATCTTCATTACTCTGTGATGAAAAATCAAACTTAATAATCATCTGCTATGAATTATTTTCCTGAATGTTTCAATTTTTTCTCTACATTCTAGAATAATTACAAAGGATCTTAACACAAACCCTTAACTATTGAAGATTTGATTTGCCAATCAATCATAACTGCATAACAGTGTAATACAAGACTGCTAACATTGTCTCCAATAGAGTAATTTGTAAATACAACAACTCTTAAGTTTAGTTTTTGCTACTTTTTGCACCAACTTCAGATAAATTTAATAAAAGTGAATGTTCAGCGTAATGTCGATGTGTAGATGAAAGTATAAACTACAATCTACAGCAGTTAAATTGGAACGATATTACATATTGGGACTGTTGTAAATCACCTAAGTGATTTATTTTCATCATCAACGCTACTATCATAGAGACTTAGATGTAAATCATTCTAAGTCTATTAGTAATATTGTGGTGCTCAGTTAAATAAGTCGATATTTATAAACAGCAAGTACTTGCATGGAGTTTCATTCAAGCTTTGTAGATAATTACAACAAACTACTAAGCCTGTGTCTCAAGTTTTCAACATCAATTACTTCACGTCATTTAATATCAGTGATACTGTATTTAGGTATATAGGCATTCAGCTAGGTGTTATTGAACGGAATTGATCAACGTTCAGGCCCATTCAGATGCATGAAGAAAATTATTAGTTTCTTTTTGAAGTTAGATGAAAGTAAAACGTTTGGTTCGGTTTCGTTTTCACTTTCAAGCCATTGAATAGTGTAGGTTATCTTTATATGTTAAAAAAGGCTGTTGTTCAGATTGTTGTTGCCATTGGAGATGTTAAATATATCATCTTTACCATGTGCAGATGTAGATTTTATTGATTATCAGCTACAAAAGTGCTTTAGTTGAACTAGTCCACATAGTAATCACGTGGCACTGATTTCAAAAGTTACAATCTGCGTACGCATTAAGCCAAAATACATCGGCTCTCTGTTACATTTAAAAAAATGAAATACCTAGATTACGTGGTTTGTAAAATCGATTAAATCAGTCGTCGGTCGTAAGTAACTTAACTTATACGCCTTGGTTTGATTCACTGAATTACGTAATCACAGTGAGATAAAATTATCAAATTGAATTCCGGAGTAACTATCCATGTCGTCCAACATTTCCAACTTCTAGTTACGATAATCCAGTAGATCTCATCCATGTTATCTTCACCATTTACATGGTTCACTCTACTCACCAGTAACTATTTCAACTGATGGCGTGTCTTGGTTTAACCCTCCTTATCTTACCATGCTACTTTTTTTTATAAGATAACAGCTAATAATGTAGGTAGAAGTTCGGATTATGTAATGCGTATTTCAGCCACCTCATATTTTGTAAAGGATTACATGTACCGACTTATTAACTTCTAGTTAACCTCATTGTTGGAATCATTATTGTTCTATGTGATAGACATTTTACAAAATGATAGGTTACTGTAAATAAAGCGCGCCACTAAATGGTCAGTTCGATTATGCACATTTCTCACTGATGTGATAAAATATATACTGTGAAGAAGTGCTAAGTATTGACTAATATCTGAAGACCAACTATTAGATGCCGAACGAAATAGGTCAAAATCGAAATTTTACTATAATGATTGTAAGACCATGTTACTAATCCTTACTAACTTAAAAAGACAATTTAAAAAAGAAATAACCTATTCTCCACTATATACGGTCAGAACTTCATTTACAATATATGAAATAGTAACGATAAAACTGAACTCGTATGTTTTAACAAACTGAAATAACTTAAGGAATTATGTTAGAGGGTTGTAGATATTAGGCAACAAACTCTAAACTTATTATTGCAACGTAGCTATTCTTAATGCTTAATAGTCTCGGACACCAATTAACTGGACACGTTCTCTCAAATCAGAACACGGTTGGACAGGAAATAGCGATTATATTCAGAAGGTCCAAAGGAAAAAGACATTAGTATATTGTTAGTTTTCTTACATGAGAAGATTCTAGAATGTTCCCTCAGTACCGACAGGCGCTGATTGGATACGAAACAGCCAATCAGCTTGCAGCAGTGCAATCATGCTTTAATCCGATCTCTCCCACTAACACAGATATTTACAACTGTTTCATCTTTGAACAATCAGTCACCATTCGAATGTTTATCTAAACCAATATCACCGAGCAAATTCCATCGATCAGTTAATCGGATCATTAATGAGATGAGATGAAAATCTTCGTATGAACTATAGTCATTCACTCAGATATCTATTCTCCATCAATGTTCACATCGAAAAATGCCATATTTTTGATTTAGTTTAGATAAGCAAGCATACATATCTTTGTGCTAATAACTGCTTATAACAATAAAGGCTCACTTATTGAATCAAAACAAAACGATAAATAACAATCGACAATCATTTTATTATTATTAGTAGTAGTATTTTATTTTCTATTTATTGTTCATGATAACAATCATTCATAATATACAGCATGTATAATACCAACAGCAAATATTTTTGAATTTGCAAATATAGCTGATGCATATGTATCACCCACATCAGTATTCCATAAAGATTGACTACCAATAAATATGCTGTTACGTTCCGGTGAACCAATATAAACTTGTACAATGAATTTATACCTTGATGGTGTATTTAGCTCACGTACATTTTTTCTTAACATATTTGCTAAATTCAATGATAATACCCGTGCTTGTGACGGTTCATAAACAACATCTTTTAAAGTATGATCCAAAGTAGTTTGAATTAAATCTTGTAACTGAAAATAAATTTAATTTAAACAACAAGACAAATCTATCATCCAGTAGTGAGAATTAAGAGATATCATAACTATAATATTATAATTATAGTCAAAATGTTATATTTTCCTAATGTTGTAAACAGAGTTTATGAAGATAAGAAATGAAGGTCATTAAACTACTCGACATATTCAATTTTCAACATTTTACTTTTGAAATGGATTTCTCTACTAATAGCAATTTAGGATTATATCGTGTAGTATTTACAATCATAAGTTTCAGTAATCTTGTATTCTTAACAAAAATAGCTCTCATTGCCGTACAACATATTTTACAATCGTTAGAGGCTGAATTGATGACACGAAAATGGAAATAACAATCATGGGAAGTCAACATAGGTTTCTTGGGAAATACATATTTTAAATTTCTAACAATATTCATCACTACCATCAGTACGGCTGTTCATGGAGACAACTGAATAGTATTGAGATCACAATTTAACCAATCCTAATATGAAAGATTAAATTCATAGGTTTCGAAACGTAAACCAAGCAAAACTGAAGCCATAATGGCTACGTCAAATTAATACAAATTATTGAGTACTTGGTCGAGATGAAAACAGAACATTAATTAATGAAATTAGTGTTAGTTAGAAGTAATTACTGCTTTCACATTGTGACCTGTATTTTTTGCTTAGTGTAAGTATATTTCTCAATGATAGCTGTCTATAATCAATGCTCATCATAAGTTAACTTTGTGTTGATAATCAGTGCGCCGATAGATGAATTGTCATTACTTATCTGATAAGATCACTCAAAATGTTCTTGCTCATATTTAAATTCATCAATCTACATAAAAATTTAATGTTAAATGAAATATCTATCAACTTGATTAAAACTTAGATGGTCAGTGAGTAAAGCAAAGTAACATAAGTTACAGCAAACTGCTAACCTAAAAATCGATAGCCTAATGACATATTATTAGAAACGATAACATCGAAGGTGAATATCAATGAAACCAGAAGGTATCCCTACGAAATTCCTGATGATCTACATGACTGAGGGCTAACGGCATAGCGAATGTCAAGACACTCGGTCTAATCAATAAATAAGTAAAGGCGTGGCAGTTTTTTTTAGCTGAATTGATTACATCTATTTTTGTAATCTTATTGATAAGTGACTATCAGTGTGAGCATTCTAATAAAAAATTCATCATTCTCTATAAAACAGATAATTGCAATTCATTAAATATAAAACCTTAATTATTAGAAGAAAAAAACGAAACAACTAACTCGTTTATGTTTAACTCGTTCATTTGGTTTAGGTTGCAGTCTATAAGTATTCTCAAATTTAACATTTTTGTTAACTCCACCACGTAGCATTCCAATTAGTGAACCATGTACACCAGTCAGTGATCTGTGCGAAGCAAAACTAAACCGACTTTGTCGTCTTGACTGATTATAAATGGATGGACGTCGGCTATCGGCTTGTGACGAATCATGTGATGCTTTGCGAATTTTATCAGTATCATCAATCGAATTAATTCTGGACAATTTTTCAAAAGACATCCTTTCAAATTTGAATCCTATATATATATTTATTTCTATCCTGTAATTTGTTTAAAAAAGTGATGATGAGTAGAAATTGACAATTATTAGTTTAATGATTTATTGTCAAGACCACTGACACAGCAGTCTCATTGGCAATTGTATACAGTTTAATATTGGAAGAAAGCACAGCCTCAATTACGCGCGATTGCGTCATTCAATACAAAGTATTTGCTATCACATGTAATTTCCTAATTTCGCACGTTTATTGATCTCTTTCATGCAACTTAAACAACAAAAGTCGGTTGGTTCACCGGTTAGTCGTCAGTGAACATTAAACTGCAATGCTGTTTCGTATGGAATGAAGATTGAATTTTCTTTTTAGGTGCTGCAGTTTAGCCACTGAATTTTAAAAGAGATTTGATATCAACATGTTATATCATTATTTATTTTTTGTTGTGGCTGAATCACTTGATAATACTTTTTTGTGAATGAATAAGTAAAACTCTTTCATATAAATAATAGATGTCTGTTATTAAGAGTTGCATTTATTACATAACTACAGTGAAATGTATATATTTAAGCAAGATTTACACCATCATATAAATACTATTGTGTTAACAGAAATATATATCTGACAGTTTGAAAATACAATGAAATCGATAAGTCAGATGATTCGGTTAGTTTTAAATGACACTTATTCTATTGATATTAAGTTTATATGTATTATCCCTTTCAGAGTGACTGTAGGGCATATTGAAATTCACCGTTTTGATTGAACTGCAACGTTGAAAGGTTTGATTAATCGATGTGGTTTTAAAAAAACCTAATTTACATAATATGGCATTAACAAGCTAGAACTACTATGTAAATAGAAAACCGTTATATTCCTGTGCACTTGATCAAGATGATACCAAATTAAGAATTGTGTTTCATTGATATACATTTCTCATTATAGAGCTATGGAGATTGTTGTTTTACATTGGAATCGTGAATCAATCATTGTTAGATCACCATCAGCAACCTGGAAGCACTGGACGGCCGTTTCGTCCTGGTATGGGACTCTTCGTTGGTGCGCATCCATGACCCCCCGCTCGCGGTGATCAAACCCAGGGCTCTCGGTCTCACACTTGAACCGTTAACCTCTAGACCACTGGACCGGCATCCAGTGGTGTTGATGTCTAACTCGGATCAGTCTAAGGATTTTCGCAACCTTACCCATTGTCTTTGGTAGTTACTGCCTACCCTTCAGTGCTTTCAGGTTTCTGATGGTGGTCGAAAAATGACTGATTCACAACTCCAATCTAAAACAACAATGTCCATAACTCGAGTGACAAATTATAAAATCCGTTTATTAGTGATTAACTTTGTCCGTAAATTCTCGGAAAAGAAATCTTTTCTTTCTCTTAATTTCAAAGTTTATTCCTCTCAGATATTAGCAAAACATGATTGTACACAAACATTGAATTATTCCAGTCGGGGTTTACAAACATGTAAAACTAATTAGAAAGAATCTCCTGTTTGTGCCAATTTGAATGAATTCCATTAAAACTTTTTAGTGATTATCTTAAAATGTGTACGTTTGTGATACTCCTTTGAGATAGCTATTCAGTGATGATACTTTATATGAATACAAGTTCTTTAGATGTATTATGAACAATTGTTAATTTAGAGTAGTTGTAACATTATAATCAATGACTACTGTAGGATTATTGCATTCTAATCTAAGATTTTTTGAAAAATGATTTTCCTACGATTAAAACTAACTTCATACCACCAGTTTGTAAATAATCAAACAGTCTTTAGATGTTTGACTGTTTTTCAAATCACTTATCTTGGCAGTTACTGATTTTTTTTATTCCGTTTGACTAGGTAAATTTATTGGAGATGAATCAATTCAGAAGTTGTGGTAAAAAAACTCATCCAGTTTGAAAATAACCACTAAGTGCTTAACATGGGAATCCTATAACTTTTAAACGTTTGGTAAAATATTGACGACTAATATTAGTTCACTTAGTGGCTTTGTATATGTATATGGGACCTTTTTTTACCAAGACATGATATTTACTTGTCACTGATCAACAAGTAAAGTTATTCTTAAATCACAACATTAAAAATTGATGGTTACGTAGCAGTGGTATGGTCGATTACTTCTGATAACTACTGAGATGTTAGTTTAAATTATAGTAGCATTATAATGTAGTCTATTCAATAACTAAACTTTTCTATCAAAATGAAATCAATAATCGATCACTGTTAGACCACCATTAGACACGTAGAAGCACTAGGCGCCTTTTTTTTTCCTAGCATGAGACTCATCAGCATTGGAAATGGTAGGAGTCGTTTCTACCCAATGCTCATGAGTCTCATATTAGGAAGAGTTTCTAATGGTGGTTTCACAATGATTTAAATTCATGGCTTCGATGTAAAACAACGATTTCCATTATACTAGAATGAAAAAAACTCCACAGTTATTATCTTCATTCTTTTGAAATAATGCATAGAGGTCAATGATTATTTTGTACGGCTTCTTATGTCATCACTGCGAGAAACTAACCACCAATCAACGTGAATGAATAAAATTCCACTGGCGCAAGAATTCTAGCTTAGAATCATCAACTTAAACAAAATTGAACAAATAAAATTACTGACAACATATTAAACAAAGTTCCTAGTCAATTATAACTTGGATAATTTGAGAAAATTTAAACTAGAGATCGAAGGAACAGTTAAATGATTAGAAAACGATAAATTTTATTACTTTGTTCAGAGCAACGTTTTTTTCCTAACCTAAGTAACATACAATCAAACTGATAATTTGCCAATTGGAAACCATTTATCATAACGGCGGTTACATCCACTTATTCATCCATATATCTTGTGCAAATATGACAAATTTCTAAATGAAGCTATCTTAGACAATTGAATATACACATACAGGGCATTCAAGCAAGAATATGGCTGCACACTTACCGAATTCTACAATTCCGTCAATGTTCAAATAAAATTTTGAAAATTTTCTCTAGTTGATTTGTACAATTACATCAATAAAATCTATTCATAACGATTGTTAAAAAATTAATTTGTTTTTTCGATATCGTGACTACACGCGTAGGCAATAGCAACCATCAATATTATTATGATTATTGGTTAAAGTGAGTTCAAGTTAATTTTTTTTTCTATTTTTTTTAAAGTTGATTTGTCGGTTGGTTGTGTAGAGAAAAGATGACATATGTTTAATTTTCATTTTTTCTTTGTTTTAATTTATGTAATTCACAAAATTTATTTTTATACTTTTAAACTATTACTTGGTTAGAAAAAAAACTCACTCAAGTAAACATATCTGTGTATACGCACATACCTACCTACCTACCGACCTACATACATACATATAGAGAGACAGACAGACAGAAGTTCTATGTCGTATTTTATACTCTAAGAGTATTTTTACTGAATTCATTTGATCATCACAGTGATCAATCGGTCAAGCTGGAGAATGGTGCCATTTTCAATGAGGTCGTTTTTATAGAATCTACATATAGTTGGTAAGTAGGCAGACATGCAGAGAGGTTGCAAATGGCTATGATTAGATCAAAATTAAGATAGATCACTGATGTGAACGGTAAATGCTTTGAAAATCAATCAGGATATTCTTCGTCAAACATGTAAAATGATCACTTCAACTGGCCTTGAGCCACTCTTCGGTTACCCTCGATCTCCAGTCATCCTGAATGGCAAATCGACCTAAGTCCCCCTAGTCTTAATGAAGTTGAAAAAGCGTTAGGAAATCTGAAGCGAGGGTGAGCTGCGGGTCCTGATAGACTGACCCCTGAGATATTTAAGGATGGTGGTCGAGTTTTAGCAACTAGGTTGACCGAGATCTTAGGTAGAATCTGGGAACTGTACGTAATCCCATCCGACTGGTCTCAATCACTGATTGTCCCAATCTATAAGAAAGGACAGAAGTCTTCTTGTGACAATCACAGAGGAATAAGTCTAACTAATATAGTATCTAAAATATTGACCTCAGTAATACTTCGACGCTTAACGAAAGCTCGTGAAGAGCAAACTCGAGAAAACCAGGCTGGTTTTCGACCTGGACGTGGTTGTATAGACCACATCTTCACACTACGACAGGTCCTGGAACACAGACACACATTTAGGCGTCCTACAATAGTTGTTTTCCTGGACCTAAAAGCGGCATTTGACTCAGTGAATCGTGATGTTCTGTGACAGTGTCTGTCATTGAAAGGTGTACCAAATAAGTACATTAACCTTATACAAGCTCTCTACTCGAACACCACTGGTCGAGTGAGAGCTTATGGCGAATTGTCAACGGAATTCTTTACTTCAAGTGGTGTCCGTCAGGGATGTCCACTTTCATCATTCTTGTTTAATTTTATCATAGACATGCTCCTAGAAATAACCTTATCCTCGTCTGAATTTTCAGGAGTAGACCTTTCACGAGGTGGCTCGCTTATTGACTTAGGATATGCCGATGACATAGTTCTATTCGGTGAAGACGCTGACAAAATGCAGAGTCTTCTGACCACCCTAAGCAACAATGCAAGCATGTTCGGGATGCGGTTCTCCCCCTCGAAATGCAAAATGTTGCTTCAAGACTGGGTTGCATCGGCACCTGAACTAGTGATAGGGAGTGAAGTAGTCAAGCGTGTAGACCGCTTCACTTATCTTGGGAGTCTCATCAGTGCCGATGGCCTGGTGACTGACGAAATCTCAGCACGGATACAGAAGGCTCGATTGGCTTTTGCCAACATGCGTCACTTATGGCGTAGGCGAGATATCCGTTTGCTGACTAAAGGACGAGTGTACTGCGCAGTAGTTCGCTCCGTCTTACTTTATGGTTGTGAAACATGGCCAGTGAGAGTAGAAGATATTCGTAGGTTACTGGTTTTCGATCATAGGTGTCTTCGAAGCATTGCTCGTATATCGTGGGACACCCGAGTGAGCTACGCTGTTATTAGGAATCGGGTGCTAGGTAAGAATGGCAGATCAATAGATGAAGTGGTGAAACTTCATCAGTTGAAGTGGTTGGGACATGTGTTGCGTATGCCCAACCACCGACTGCCTCGTCGAGCTTTATTTTGTAGTGTAGGAATAGGTTGGAAGAAAGTTAGGTGCAGCCAGACCAAAACATGGCACAAATCCATGAAGTCATTGACGAGTGGACTTAGCCATGTCGGTAATTGTCGACTACCTGGTTGGGGTCCGCGAGATGATAATAATCGATGGTTAGAGACCTTGAATGACATGGCTCAAAATCGTTCGCAATGGCGCCGGTGCATTTATTCTTTGTGTTCTCTCAAATCCTAATCTTCTGGATTCTTCAACCCCTCTAGTTTTGACTTTCTGAACTTTTCTCACTGAATCATACTTCTCGAATAATATCTTCTAATCCTAACCTCTCCGATTACTTCTAATACTTCTTCTACCATTGGATTTGAATTGACAATTACATCTCTGTGCTGATGTGGTATGGCGACATGAACTGATGTACTTACGTACGAAGTTCTACGTTGCATCTGACTGACTGACTGACTGTAAATTGAA